AACAAAGCTGAGAGATTGTTACCTCTGACCACACAGCCAGTCAGTAGCAGGCTGTGTAATGATGTTTGGAAATGTCTGTTAGATATAAAGAAAGCAAAACAGGTATACATTCGGGTTGCTAGTAGATTGTGTGCATGGGTTGGGCCAGTTGAAACCTGTTCATACCTTCATTCATCCCTCACTGAGAAATGTTTATTAAGTACTTACTTTGTATTAGGCATTGATCTTGAGTCAGAAACAAGACTAACCTCATAGGTTTTACTTCAAATAAGGAAGACATAAGAAATAAATAAGCATATCATAAAACCTTAAGTATGATACACACTTTGGAAACAAGAGAAGCCAGGTAAGAGGATAGCAGCTGACTGGAGAAGACATGTTGTGGGTGGCAGAGGCTCATTGGGAAGACAGAAGTGATCTGTCCTGTTTCCTTGCTCATTACATCAAAATTGTTGTTGTTGTTGTTATGGAAATTATTTCTAAAGGTGAGTGAAAAGGGCCATCAGAGAAAAGCTGTCTCCCACCCTGGAGTTACACTGTGACAGGAGCAGATCATGCCAAGCTCTGGAAGATGCTTCAATCTATCAGAGAGAAGTAAAGAGTGAGGAAGCAGGATTACATTTGGAGAGACAGCAAGAAGTATGAAGCAGCTGCAGTGCAATGCAGTGTGACGAGTGGAAAGAGGAGTAGGAGAGGTGGAGAGGAAGCTGCATGCCCACAGCCAACATCCATTAGGAAGGAGAGGGTTTTTGTTTGGTGAGATGGAAATGTCCCAAGCTAAGTTCCTGAGATAGGCCAGAGGGGAGATTCTGAGAGGGATGTCTGGCATTTGAACCTATGGAACTGAGAAGTGAGACGGGTTCAGCAAAGTCAAACTGCGATGCATTCCATCCCACTGAGAGTGTCTGAATGTCTGAAGTGATTCGGGACTAATAATCCTGATTGTTGGATGCAGGATACCATGGCAGTGAATGCATGAAGGGGGGCTCCAGCAAAGTCAGTGCCTAAAGAGAGACTCAGATGAGGACCACCAATTGACATCAAGACAAATATCTGGGCAAATTAGTGCATGGTCTCTGGAAAGCATGTCAGGTCAGGGCACCTGAGCAACTATGAAAAGGACCTGGAGTCAGCACAGAACACACCCAGACACCAAAGTCTCAGGACAAAGGAGATCTGCTTACTCCAGAAGCATAAAAAAGCTATTCTTGGATCAGACAAAGACAGCAATGGCTGACTAGCACATGACTGTTTTAAGCCTCTATGGTAGAAAAGGAAGAAAGGGGGTGTCTCTCCCCTGGAGATGGTTGTGGGGGTGACTGTCTCCAATTGGCTAGAAGGAGAAGAGAGGAGATGAGGTAGTGGGCTTCTCATCATGTAGCCTGATGCCATTTTATGAGGTAGTGTACCTTTGGTCACGTAGCCTGGTGGGTTTGAGAGATCACATCAGGACCAGCAATCTACATCAGTGGAACACTTGAGAAAAGGAATGGCATAGTTAAAAATCACTTTGCTTTGCTTCTGTTGTTTAAATCAGCATCTGATCATGTCGCCCAGGCTGGCCTTGAACTTGCAATCTTGCTACCTAGTCTCCCAATAGCTGTGATGGTATGCCACTGAACTCAGCTTGGAATCACGCTTTTAGTCATCACTCTGGCTGCTGTGATGATAAGTGACTGTTTGGAGCAAGGAGAACAGCAGCAGAGTAGTCCCCTTGGGTGTCAGGAAATTAAACCAAAAAACAGTCTGGAACCTGGTAGGTATCCAAAGCAATCACAGAATTAGTCCTTCCACAGATCAGAGTATCCCTCAGAGGACCCTGTTTGTTTTTTTAGCACCAACAAGGACATCTGAAGAAGGCTACAAGGATCCCAGAAATGGACACCAGTCCCAATTTACAGAAAAACAATGCCATGACATCTCTGCAACAGAAATTGGTCAAGGAGATGAGTCACCTTGAAATGAAGGACTTAAATGGAAAGGGAGGTGGAGAGGATCTGGGAGTAATTTGAGGAGTGGGAAAAGCATGATCAAAATATATTGTATGAAAAAAATCTTCAATGAAAAATTTCTTGAGAACAGAGAGTTGAATTCTAAGAGTAATGTTGCTATGTCACATTTTAGACAGTAGGACATTGGCATCATTCCTCAAAATTGATACTATAGACAAAATTGGCAAATTTTTGTGTCATGCAAATGAACCATTGACAGTTCAAGACCCAGACATTTACCCAACAAATATGACAGTGGTCATATGAGTAAAATTCTATACCAGGACTTAAATGTGAAGTCATCCAATTCTCTAGATCGTAGGTATTACTAATAAATACGATACTAGTTAAGATTATAAAATATCTCCCTCTAGAAACTAGCTATTCTAACTGTACAGAAGTTCATGAGATGTATAGACTTTGGGTCTGGTTAATTTCACTTGTGTGATTTTTTTCATTTGCAATTCTTCATAATAGAATTTTGATTAAAACCCCAAAGAAGATACTGGTTCTTGAACTTATAGACGTGTGAGATAATATTGGGTGCTTCTCACACTTGGTGCAGTGATCTTGAGGTTCCATGCCACAGACTTGGTACACATCTGGGTGTGGAACAGATGCTCCAGATGACTCCGAAAGAAGCACATGAAGGACAATCTTTGATAAACATCACCTAGGGGAAGGAATATTTACCAAAAAGTTGAAGGTGTTATGCAATCAGATGGGTGGACTGATTATCTCAGCAAGTAAAGAAATGGTCAGTAAGTGGGAACAGATCTGAGTTCATCTTCACCATAACAGACACTGTCCAACAAGTCTGCATGTCACCCTTCCATGTGCCTGAATGTAGCAGTACTTCTCAGTAACAAAGTCTGGTCAACTGATGATTATAAAGTTAATATCAGAGACTGAGCTCAAAGTGATCAGCTAAGGGAAATGCCACAGGCCTGATCACAGGAAGCCAGGAGGCCATGGGTGTTTGTTGCCACATCTGCTACACTGCCTATGAAAGTTTTGATTTTACACCCAAAGTGAGAGAATAACTTCAAATCCTATAAATAATACATCCAAGGAAAAAAAGGTTTTGAATGTTGTATGTGGAGAGGCCCTGCTAAGATAAAAGGCTCCATTCCATGTTTATCTTGCTGTCAGAGAACAAGGCAGGCAGTGAGGCAAGACTGTAATTTACCCAAAAGTGTATGGAAGAAATGAACCAAGGAGGATGTGAAGTTGAAAGCCTTGTATATAGAGAACAATAAGCTACACATGTAGCAAATCTGCAATTCAAGTGATAAGAAAATGGGTTTGATCTAATATATTGATGTTCTGAACTTTATGAAATCCAATGTTTTTACTGTTGTGAATGGAAAGGTACACAATAAATTTGAAGTCAGTGCTTCAGCAGCCCATCTCTCCTTGTGCTATCTAGTTTTTGTGTCAGCTTGACACAAGCTGGGCCTAGGAAGAAATAATCTTAATAGAGAAAACGCATCCATAGAATTAGCCTATATGCAAGTGTATAAGCATTTTCTTGATTGGTGATTGGTGTGAGATGGCCCAGCTCACTGTGGGAACAGCCACTTCTGGGAAGGTGGCTCTGGGTTGTATAAGAAGATAAGCTGAGCAAAACCATGAGTGAACAAGACAGTAAATGGCACTCCTCCATGCCTTCTGCTTCAGTTCCTCCATCCAGGTTCCTATCCTCAGTTCTTCTTCTATCTTACCTGGATGATGGAATATTATGTAGAAGTGGAAGTGAAATAAATCTTTTATTCTTCAATTTGCTTTTGGTCATGGTGTTTTATCACAGCAACTACTGTGAGATGTCTTTCTGTATGCTATGAATATGTGTTGATGTGATTGGTTGATAAATAAAGCTATTTGGCCTAGGGCAAAAAATCTTAGAGGCAGGTAGGAAATCCAGGAGAGAGACAGGAAGAAGAAAGGCAGAGAAGATGCCATCCTGCCATCCAGAGAGCAATATGTAATGGCACACAGGTAAAACCACAGAACATGTGGCAACATATAGGTTAATAGAAATGGGCTGAGTTTAGTTATAAGAGCTAGCTAGCAAGAAAATTGAGCCATAGGCCATGACCATACAGTTTGTAAATAATATAAGCCTCTGTGTGTCTACTTGGGACTAAGCAGCTTCAGGATGCAAGTAGGAGAGATTTGTCCTGACCACAGGGCCAGGCAGGACCAGAGAAACTTTCTGACTACACAGCAACAAAAAAGTATAAGATGCTCCTAGATGAGCAAAGGATACAATTAACCAAAACAGGTAGTTACATGAAATCTTCACAGGGAACACTAGGAAGCCATTACGTTCCAATACCAATGCAAGAAGATAGTTTACAATAAATATTAACCCAGCCATCTAAGAGTCTTGCTAGTTCTGCTTTACAGAGACACTGATCTTATTGTTGAAAACACAACTAGTGTTTCATCATTATCTGTTGAACTTGTCAACATACATTTAAAACAGTCTCTAGCAAGCAAGCCATCCCCTGCAGCACCAGTGAGCACTGGAGCCATATGATTACCTTGTACCACTTGGGAACAGGTAAGGTCCCATCTCCAGACTGGTCAGCCCAGTTCTCCAGACCCTAGGCCCCAGGGGCACACTCCATGTCCCTCTCCTCCCCCTGAGTGAGTGCAGCACCAGAGACCTGGCAGCAGCTCACTCCCACCCCCACCCCCTCACCAACCATCCCCTGTTATAGTTGGAAGTTTTCCTGTGTCTTGGCTGGCTGGCAGTCAAGACAAATCTTTCCCATGCACATCCCCCAAGTAAACAAACAGAGGCTTATACTAATTATAACTGCTTGGCCATTAGCTCAGGCTTATTACTGACTAGCTCTTACATTTAAATTAACACATAATTTTTATCTATGTTTAGCCATGTGGTTGGTACCTTTTCTCAGTTCTGCCTTGTCATCTTGCTTCCTCTGTGTCTGGCTGGTGACTCCTGACTCAATTTTTCCTCTTCACAGACTTCTTTTAGTCTGCTTGCCCCAATGATACCCTGTGGCACCATGACCACCTAAGCCATATGCCTGCTCCTGGACCAATAGGGAAGAAGAGCAACCACAAAAACCAGAGGCCCCACATGCACCAATTGGAAGAAGAGCAAGCTGGAGCTCCATCTGTTCTGATTAAAGGAAGAAATGAGTAGACAGCAGTGTAAGAACACATTAAACGACATAAAGAGCAATACAATACCACCAGAACCTAATGATCCTACAATGGCAAGACCTGGAAATCTCAAAGCAGATGATCCAGAAGAAAATGACCTTAAGAACAACTTTATGAAGATGATAGAGGCCCTAAAAGACAAAATGAAAAATTCCCTTAAAGAAACGGAGGAAAAGATAAAAAAAAAATTGGAAGAAAACAAGAAATCTCTTAAAGAAACTCAAGAAAAAAATAATCAAACAGGTGAAGGAAGCAGTTCAAGACTTGAAAATTGAAATATAAGCAATAAAGAATACACAAACTGGGGAAATTCAGAAAAAGGAAGATCTGAGTAAATGAACAGAAACTACAGAGGCAAGCATAAACAACAGAGTACAAGACATGGAGGAGAGAATCTCAAGCATTGGGAATTCCATAGAATTGGTCAAAGAAAAGGTTAAATCCAGCAAATTTTTAACACAAAACATCTAGAAAATCTAGGACACCATGAAAATACCAAACTTAAGAATAATAGGGATAGAAGGAGAATTTCAGCTCAAATGCACATAAAATATATTCAACAAAATTATGGAAGAAAACTTTCCCACCTAAAGAAAGACATGCCTATGAACGTACAAGAAGCATACAGAACACCAAATAGATTGGACCACAAACAAAGTCCCCTCACCATATAATAGTCAAAACACTAAACATACAAAATAAAGAAATAATATTAAGAGCTGCAAAGGAAAAATGTCAAGTAACATATAAAAGCAGACCTATCAGAATTACACCCAACTTCTCAATGGAAACTCTGAAAGCCAGAAGGTTCTGGAGAGTTGTTCTGCAGATACATAGAGACCACAGATGCCAGCACAGACTACTATATCCAACAAAGCTTTCAATCACCATAGATGGAGAAAACAAGATATTCCGTGACACAACCAGATTTAAACATTACTTATGCACAAATCCAGCCTCACAGAAAATACTAGAAGGAAAACTCCAGCCCAAGGAAGTTAGCTGCAACCACCAAAACACAAGCAATAAATAACCTGACACCAGCAAATCCCAAAGAAGAGAAACACACACACTACCACCAAAAAAATGTCAGGAAATAACAATCACTGATCATTAATATTCCTTAATGTCAATGGATTCAATTTGCCTATAAAAAGACACAGGCTAACAGAATGGATATGAAAACAAGATCGATCATTCGGGTGCATACAAGAAATACACCTCAGCTTCAAAGACAGACACTACCTCAGAGTAAAGGGTTGGGAAAAACATTCTAATCAAATGGGCCTAAGAAACAAGCTGGTGTAGCTATCTTAATATTTAACAAAAAAGACTTCAAACTAAAATCAATCAAAAGAGATGAAGAAGGGCATTTTATATACAACACAGGAAAAATCCATGAAGGTGAAGTTTTAATTCTAAACATTTATGCCCCAAATACAAGGGCACTTACATTTGTAAAAGAAATTTTACTAAAGGTCAAATCACACATGAAACCCCACACACTAGTAGTGGGAGACTTCAACACCCCACTCTCACCACTGGACAAGTCTGCCAAACAGAAACTTACCAGAGAAATAAGGGAACTAACAGATACTATGACTCAAATGGACCCAACAGACATCTATAAAAACATTTCACCCAAACACAAAAGAATATACATTCTTTTCAGCACCCCATGGAATCTTCTCCAAAACTGATCACATACTCAGTAACAAAACAAATCTCAACAGATACAAAATAATTGGAATAACCCCCTGGAACTTATCAGACCATCATGGCTTAAAGCTAGAGTTCAATAACAACACAAAATTCAGAAAGTCTACCAACTCATGGAAACTGAACAATGCTCAGCTGAATCACTACTGCAGTCAAAGAAGAAATAAAGAAAGCAATTAAAGACTTCCTAGAATTCAATGAAAATGATGGCAGAACATACCCAAACTTATGGGACACTATGAAAGCAGTGCTAAGAGGAAAGTTCATTCACTAAGTGCATACATAAAGAATGTGAAGAAATCTCACACTAGTGACTTAACAGCACACCTGAAAGGTCTTGTCCAAAAAGAAGTTAACTCACCCAAGAGGAGCAGATTACAGGAAATAATAAAACTGAGGGATGAAATCAATAAAATAAAAACAAAGAGAACAATACAAAGAATCAATAAAACAAAGAGTTGGTTCTTCAAGAAAATCAACAAGATAGACAAATCCTATCCAAACTAACCAAAAAGCAGAGAGAGAATACCCAAATTAACAAAATCAGAAATGAAAAGGCGGACATAATAACAGACACTGAGGAAATCTAGAGATTCATTAGGTCATACTTTGAAAACACATACTACACAAAATTGAAAAATGTAAAAGAAATAGACAATTTTTTAGATAGGTACCACATACCAAAATTAAATCAAGATCAAATAATTTAAATAGACCTATAACCCCTAAGGAAACAGAAGCATTAACCAAAAACTTCCCAACTAAAAAAAAGCTCAGAGCCAAATGATTTCTACACAGAATTCTACCAGAATTTCAAAGAAGAGCTAATACCAATACTCCTCAAATTGTTCCAAACAATAAAAATAGAAGGAACATTGCAAACTCTTTTACTAGGCTACAGTTACCCAGATACCCAAACCATATAAAGATGCAACTAGAAAAGAGAATTACAATCTCTCTCATGAATATTGATGCAAAAATTCTCAATAAAATACTAGCAAACCAAATCCCAGAACCCACCAAAAAATTCATTCACCATGATCAAATAGGCTTCATCCCAGAGATTCAAGGATGGTTCAACATACAAAAATCTGTCTACGTAATCTACCATATAAACAAACTGAACGAAAAAAGCCACATGATCATCTCATTAGATGCTTTTGAAAAAAATCCAATACCTCTTCATAATAAAGGTTCTAGAGAGATCAGGGATACAAGGAACATGCCCTATCATAATCAAGGCAATATACAACAATCCAACAACCAATATCAAACTAAATGGAGAGAAACTCAAAGTGATTCCATAAAAATCAGGGACAAGATGATGCTGTCCACTCTCTTCACACCTAATTCTAAATAGAGCAATAAGAAACAAAATGAGATCAAGGGGATACAAATTGGAAAGGAAGAAGTCAAACTTTTGCTATTTGCAGATGATATGATAGTATACATAAGTGACCAAAAAAATTTTACCAGAAACTCCTACAGCTGATAAACACCTTTAGTAATGTGGCAGGATACAAGATTAACTCAAAAAAAATCAGCATTCCTCCTATATACAAATGATAAATAGGCTGAGAAAGAAATCAGAGAAACATCACCCTTTACAGTAGCTACAAATAACATAAAATATCTTGGGGGTAACTCTAACCAAACAAATGAAAGACTTGTATGGCAAGAGCTTTAAGTCTTTGAAGAAAGAAATTGAAGAAGATATCAGAAAATGGAAAGATCTCCCATGTTCTTGGATAGGTAGGATCAACATAGTAATAATGGCAATCTTACCAAAAGCAAACTGCAGATTCAATGCAATCCTCATCAAAATCTCAATGCAATTCTTCACAGACCTTGAAAGAACAATACTCAACTTTATATGTAAAAACAAAAAACCTATACAATAAAGGAACTTCTGGATGCATCACCTATCCCTGACTTCAAGCTCTACTATAGAGCTATAATAATAGAAACAGCTAGGTATTGGCATAAAAACAGACATATTGATCAATGGAATCAAATCAAAGACTTAATACACATACCTACAAACACCTGATTTTTGACAAAGAAGCCAAAATTATATAATGGAAAAAAGAAGGCACCTTCAACAAATGGTGCTGGCATAACTGGATAGCTACATGTAGAAGAATGCAAATATATCCATATCTATCCCCATGCACAAAACTCGAGTCTAAATGGATCAAAGACCTCAGCATAAATCCAGTGACACTGAATCTTATAGAAGACAAAGTGGAAGTAGCCTTGAACGCATTGGCACAGGAGAACACTTCCTAAATATAACAACAGTAGCACAGACACTGAGAGCAACAATTAATAAATGGGACCTCCTGAAACTCAGAAACTTCTGTAAGGTCAAGGACACTGTAAATAAGACAAAATGGCAGCCTACAAATGGGAAAAGATCTTCACCAACCCCACATCTGATAGAGCGTTGATCTCTAAAATATGTAAAGAACTCAAGAAACTAGACAGCAAAATAACAAATAATCCAATTATAAAATGGGCTACAGAGCTAAACAGAGAATTCTCAACAGAAGAATCTCAAATGGCCACAAGACATTTAAGGAAATGTTCAACATCCTTAGCCATCATGGAAATGCAAATCAAAACGACTCTGAGATACCATTTTACACCTGTCAGAATGGTTAAGATCAAAAACACAGTTGAGGTGTTCGCAGCCGTGGCCGCGCTGCCACCGCTCCCTAACATCAGCGCCGCCTCTCGCTTGCAGAGCTCCAGCCGAAGGAGAAGGGGGGTAAGTAAGGAGGTGCCCATACCATGGGTCCTACAAAGCTGACTGCCGGCAAATCCACCGGTGGTAAAGCACCCAGGAAACAACTGGCTACTAAAGCCGCTCACAAGAGTGCGCCCTCTACTGGAGGGGTGAAGAAACCTCATCGTTACAGGCCTGGTACTGTGGCACTCCGTGAAATCAAACGTTATCAGAAGTCCACTGAACTTCTGATTCGCAAGCTCCCCTTCCAGCGTCTGGTGCGAGAAATTGCTCAAGACTTCAAAACAGATTTGCGCTTCCAGAGTGCAGCTATTGGTGCTTTGAAGGAGGCAAGTGAGGCCTATCTGGTTGGCCTTTTTGAAGATACCAACCTGTGTGTTATCCATGCCAAATGTGTAACAATTATGCCAAAAGATATCCAGCTAGCACGCCGCATATGCGGAGAACGTGCTTAAAAGTTCACTATGAGGGGAAACATTTCATTCTCAAAATTTTTTTTTCCTCTTCTTCCTGTTATCAGTAGTTCTGAATGTTAGATATTTTTTCCATGGGGTCAAAAGGTACCTAAGTATATGATTGCCAGTGGAAAAATAGGGGACAGAAATCAGGTATTGGCAGTTTTTCCATTTTCATTTGTGTGTGAATTTTAATATAAATGCAAGATGTAAAGCATTAATGCAAGCAAAATGTTTCAGTGAACACATTTCAACAGTTCAACTTTATAACAATTATAAATAAACCTGTTAAAATTTTCTGGACAATGCCAGCATTTGGATTTTTTAAAAATAAATAAATTTCTTATTGACAGCAAAAAAAAAAAAAAAACCCCACAGTTGACAGCTTATGTTGGAGAGGCTGTGGAGAAAGGGGAACACTCCTCTACTGATGGTAAGAATGCAATCTTGTATAGCCACTCTGGAAATCAGTATGGTGGTATCTCAGAAAATTGGGAATCAGTCAATCTCAAGACCCAGCAATACCACTCCTGGGCATATACCCAAAAGATGCTCAACCACACCACAAGGACATTTGCTCAACTATGTTCATAGCAGCATTATTTGCAATAGCCAGTAGCTGGAAACAATCTAGACGCCCTTTAATTGAAGAATGGATAAAGAAAATGTGGTACATTTACACAATGGAGTATTATGCAGCATTAAAAAGCAATGTCATCATGAAATTTGTAGGCAAATGGATGGAACTAGAAAAATATAATCCTGAGTAAAATATCTCAGACTCAGAAAGTCAAACATGGTATGTACTCACTCATAAGTGGATACTAGATGCAAAGCAAAGGATAATCAGGATATAATCCACAACCTGAGAGAAGCTAGGTAAAGAAGATGACACTAAGAGGGATACACATGTATTGCCCTGGGAAGGGGAAATATCTCCTAGGTAAACTCTAAAGGGGAGTGGGGGGGGGGGAATGGAAGGTGGGAACATGAGGGCTTGAGATGGACCAGTTGGGGGAGAGATGGGAAGGGAGAGTAATGAAAGAGACATCATTAAAATGTACCATTAAGGGGATGGGGAGAAATCTGCAGCTAGGGAAACCCCCAGGAACTCAAAAGATTTTCCCCAGCCAAGACTCAAAGTAATGGTAGAGAGGGTACTTAAACTAGCCTTCCCCTGTACTCTAATTGGTATTTACCCTAATTGTCATCATAGAACCTATATCCAGTGACTGATGAAAGCAGATGCAAGAGACCCACAGCCAAGCACTTGGCCAAGTTCTTGGAGTTCAGCTGAAGAGAGGAAGGAAGGATTAAAAGAGCAATGGGAATTAGAATCATGATGGGAAAAACCACAGAGACAGCTGACCGAAGCTAGTGGAAGCTCTGGACTGACAGCTGGGGAGCCTGCCTGGGACTGAACTAGGCCCTCCAAATGTGAGTGAAAGTTGTGTGGCTTGATGTGTGTGTGGATTCCCTGGCAATTGGACCAGGACTTAACCTAGGTACATGAACTGGCTTTTTATATCCATTTCCTATGGTGTGATGCCTTAACTCAGCATTGATGCAGGGGGGGAGGTTAGCTAAGACTGGCCCCAACTTGGTATGTCAGCCTACGTTGACTATCCAAGGGAGGCCTTACCCTCTATGAGAAGGGGAAGGGGTGGCATGAGGGTAGTTGGGGATGAGTGGGAGAAAGGGAGAGAGGGGGAATGGAGTTGGTATGTAATAGGGAAGAATTTTTTAATAAAAAGAAATATAAATAAATAAAAAGTAAAATAGTCTGTAAAAGAACACCTATCACTAAATCATAAATAGAGAAGTATAGTAGCCTGATAAAAAAGCCTTCTAGGGAAGATTAGGTTTAGATTAAGCAGTCAGTTCTTAATTATTTGCCAGAGTCAAAAACAAAAGTAGTTAACACTTGGCTTTGATACTTATAATAATTTTACAGTTCTATCTTACCACTTTTGTTCTTAGAAAAACACATTATGCAAAGTTTCCTTTGCACCCTTTTATTCTGACTACATCTATATGCACAATACATAGGACCAAAGGAAAATGTATCAAGGTAAGTATTACTTATATATGTGTATATTCACATATATGCATGCAAGTCGGAGGCCAGAGACTGAGGCCAAGTGTCTTCCTCAATCATTCTCATTTATTGAGACAAGGTATCTCACTTGCACCTGTTACTAACAGAATCTTCTTGACTGGCTGTTCAACAAACTCCAGGAATCTTCCTGCCTCCACTGCCACAGAGCACCCATGTCCTACATTGCATGTTTGTAGAGACATAACTCGGGTCCCATGCTTGTGAAACAAGTACTTTCCCAGCTGAGCGGTCTTCTAGCCCTTTGTTCATATTTAAGTTTCCCCATTGATCATCTGGAATCAAGTCAGATTCTGAAGTTTAAGTATTGTGATAGTTAATCTTTTTTTTTCATTTTTCTTTATTAAGAAATTTTCTACTCACTCTACATACCACCCACAGATCCCGGTTCCTCCCTCCTCCCATCCCCCAGCCCTCCCTCCCAAGCCACCCTACATCCCACATCACCCAAATCAAGGTCTCCCATGAGGAGTCAGCAGAGCCTGGCACACTGAGCCTAGGCAGGTCCAAGCCCCTCCCTACTGCACCAAGGCTGTGCAAGGCATCACACCACTGGCACTGGGCTCCTAAAAGCCTGCCCATGCACCAGGGATGGATCCTTATCCCCATGTCTGGGTGCCCCCCAAACAGTTCGAGCCAAACAACCATCTTCCATATCCAGAGGGCCTAATCCAGTCTCATGGGGGCTCCACAGCCACCAGTCCACAGTTCATGGGGTTCCACTAATGTGGCCGGTCATCTCTGCATGTCTTCCCATCATGATCTCGATGTCCCTTGCCTATAGAATCCTTCCTCTCTCTCATCGATTGGATTCCCCAGAGCTGAGCCTGGTACCTGGCTGTAGATCTCTGCATCTGCCTTCAGTCACTGGACAAAGGCTCTTTGATGGCGGTTTTTTACTATACTGGTCACCAGAGTAGACCAGTCCAGGTACCCTCTAGACCATTGCCAGCACTCCCAGGTGTGGTCATCCTTGTGGATTCCTGAAAGCCTCCCCAGTACCCTGCCTCTTCCTATTCCCATGATGTCCTCATCTATCATGGTATCTCCCTCCCTTCCCTCCCACTCTGTCCCTGTTTCAGCTCAACCCTCCCATTTCCCTATGTTCTCATCCCCCACTCCTCGCCCTCTGCCCCCCTCATTCCCAGTCTGCTCATGTAGCTTTTTGAGTTCTTTATATATTTTGAAGATCAGCCCCCTGTCAGGTGTGGGGTTAGTGAAGATCTTTTCCCATTCTCTTGGCTGTCATTTTGTCTTATTGACCATGTCCATGTCCTTTGCTCTACAAAAGTTTCTCAGTTTCAGGAGGTCCCATTTATTAACTGTTACTCTCAGTGTCTGTTCTATTGGTGTTATATTTATTAAGTGGTCTCCTGTTCCAATGTGTTCAAGACTACTTCCTACTTTCTCTTCTATCAAGTTTAGTGTAACTGGATTTATGTTGAGGTCTTTCATCCACTTGGACTTGAGTTTTGTGCATGGCAATAGATATGGATCTATTTGCAATCTTTTGCATGTTGACATCCAGTTATGCCAGCACCATTTGTTGAAGATGCTTTCTTTTTTCCATGGTACAGTTTTGGCTTCTTTGTCAAAAATCATATGTTCATAGGTGTGTGGACTAATGTCAGGGTCTTCAATTTGATTCCATTGGTCCACATGTCAGTTTTTATGCCAATACCCAGCTGTTTTTAATACCATAGCTCTATAGTAGAGCTTGAGGTCAGGGATCATGATGCCTCCTGAGGTTGCTTTATTATACAGGATTCTTTTAGCTATCCTAGGTTTTTTGTTTTTCCATATAAAGTTAAGTATTGTTCTTTCCAAGTCTGTGAAGGGATTTTGATGAGGATTGCATTGAAACTGTAGATTGCTTTTGGTAAGATTGCCATTTTTACTATGTTAATTCTACCTATCCATGAGCATGGGAGATCTTTCCATTTTCTGATATCTTCTTCAATTTATTTCTTCAGAGACTTAAAGTTCTTATCATATAGGTCTTTCACTTGCTTAGTTAGGGTTACCCCAAGATATTTTATATTATTTGTGGCTATTGTAAAGGGTGATGTTTCTCTGATTTCCTTCTCAGCATGTTTATCATTTGTATATAGGAAGGCTACTGATTTTTTTTTTTGCTAATCTTGTATCCTGCCACCTTACTGAAGGAGTTTATCAGCTGTAGAAGTTCTCTGATAGAATTTTTTGGGTCACTTATGTATACTATCATATCGTCTGCATATAGCAAAAGTTTGACTTCTTCCTTTCCAATTTGTATCCCCTTGATCTCCTTTTGTTGTCTTAATGCTCTAGCTAGAACTTCAAGTACTATGTTGAATAAGTATGGGGAGAATGGACAGCCTTGTCTCATTCCTGATTTTAGTGGAATCGCTTTGAATTTCTCTCCATTTACTTTGATGTTGGCTGTTGGCTTGCTGTCAATTGCCTTTATTATGTTTAGGTATGTTCCTTGTATTCCTGATCTCTCTAAAACTTTTATCATGAAGGGGTGTTGGATTTTGTCAAAGGATTTTTCAGCATCTAATGAGATGATCATGTGTTTTTTTTTCTTTCAGTTTGTTTATGTGGTGTATTACATTGACAGGTTTTTGTATGTTGAACCATCCATGCATCCCTGAGATGAAGCCTACTTGATCATGGTGGATAATTGTTTTGATGTGTTCCTGGATTCAGTTAGCTAGTATTTTATTGAGTATTTTTGCATCAATGTTTATGGGGAAGATTGGTCTGTAAATCTCTTTCTTTGTTGCATCTTTATGTGGTTTGGGTATCAGGGTAACTGTGGCCTCAAAAAGAGTTTGATAATGTTCCCTCTGTTTCTATTGTGTGGAACAATTTAAGAGTATTGGTATTAGCTCTTCTTTAAAAATCTGGTAGAATTCTGCACTGAAACCATCTGGTCCTGGGCTTTTTTTGGTTGGGAGACTTTTAATGACCTTTTCCATTTTCTTAGTGGTTATTGGTCTATCTAAATAGTTTATCTGGTCTTGATTTAACTTTGGTATGTGCTTCCATGATAGTTAATCTTGATTGTCACCTTGATTTATATCAGAATAACCATGGAAACAAATCTCTGGGCCTGTCTATGAGGGATTTATTTTCTTGATTAGGGTAACTAAGGGATGAAAATCCACCCTATATGTAGATGGCATTATTCCATATGATAGAATCCCAGAATAAACATAAAGAAAAAG